AACGCATAATCACATGGGCAGTAAATGGTGATACAAGGAGTAAAATTCAGGCTCTTTATACTCTAACATGTAATCACTGTATCTGTGATTTGGAAGAAAAATATTTTTTAGGACCATTTGATGTCTTATTAAGCTACCAATCCCAAGTCCTTGGTAATCTTACTCTCTGAGTAATACTGACCTGGAATTCCAGAGTTTCAGGCCCATGACCATTGGCTAGTGGAGAAGAGCCTCAGCTCCTTAATTTTAGAGTGTGTCTCCTCAGTCATTTAGGACAGAGCCTTGAGAAATGAATCTGAAAACAAGAATTCTAACAAACCCAGGATTAAACATATTTTAGCCCTGGGTAATCAGATGAAAACTTCGCTCTGGAAGTCCCATGCCAAGAGAATAGTTAAAATTCTTCAATATTTTTCCAGAACGTCTTTAGCATCTGTTAGTCTAGACTCTTCTTTAATTTGTTATCACTGGGATCTTTGTAACATAAGAACTTTAGGATATTTGTTATTATAAAGGGATCGGGAGCAGAATTGCTTAGTTATAATAATTGAGGGCCCACGTCAGGAAACCAGGATGGCTGATTCTCCTTCTTAGTTTGTTCCTCAGAGCTTCTCCAAACCCTTTAAAGATTTAGGTTAGGCTTTTAGGAAACTTTGGGCACTAATTGCCTACATGATTCAAAGAACAGTTCTTGAGGGACAGTTAATGGTTCTAAGCTATGGCACAGTTTACAGAGATGTAGTGAAGATACAAATTTTTTCTAAAAAGATAAAAATCCCAGGGCCAAAGGTAGCTTTATCTAAAAATTATTTCCTCTCTTCTCTATTTGGTGATTTTTCTTTCATCTTTTGAGAATCAAATGCCATCAGCTCTGTGAAATAAAAACAAACGCAGTTTTATTGAGACATAATTTACATACCCCTGCAATCACCAATTTAAAGTGCATGCATAATTCAATGGTTTCTGGTATATTACATTATTAATTGTAAAAAGTGTGATTAAATATATATAATATAAAAATTTTCCATTTTAAGTATTTTAAGTGTATAATGAAATGGCATTAATTACATTTACAATGTTGTGCATCCATTAGCACTATTTCTAAACTTTTTCATCATTCAAATGAAAACTCTGTGGCCACTAAACAATAGTTCCCATTCTTTCTTCATGAAACCATTCTTAACTGTGCCAGGCCGAGTCTGCTAAACTTTTTTTAGGTGCCCATTAAATATATGATATATATTTAATATATCTCTCAAATTAGTCACTTTTTGTAATATGTTTATATGTTTGTCCCTTTCACTAGATTGGCCATAATAACCTTTCTATCCACTTGCTGAATCTAGATAAACAAAAAAATTAAAAAGTAAAAATATTCAATCATTAGAAAATATGGAAAAAATAGAGTTGAATACTTAGAAAATTAAAGTGTGGAGAATAGCCTAAGATTAGAAGCAATATAGATTGTGTAACAAATGAATTTTTCAATGCTTTAAATATTAAATACCTCTAAAAATGTCAAGCAGTAAACTGATAAGAATATTTTGTGTAAAACTGATAGACTAAATGTTATCATATTTATTATATAAAGAACAATATTAACTGAGAAATAAAAAAGCATTAAAATCAAAATTTTAAAATTGGACAAAAGAAACAGACCAATTTCAGAGGAGAAGAAACAAGTGTTTGAGGGAAACTAAAGTTGAAACACACTCGTATTAAAAGAAATATAACTTAAAATAATAGTAAGTCTCCATTTTCACCTGTAAAATTTGTAAGTTTTTGTATTTGAATGTATTGGGATGACCTTGGTTAATAAAATTACTGTATATAGGCTTCGGATGTACAATCCCACAGCACGTCATCTGTGTATTGTATTGTGTGTTTGCCGCCCCAAGTCAAGTCTCCTTCCACCATTATTTACCCCCGTGCCCTCTCCCAACCCTCCTCTTC